AGACAACCTCTCGTCAATATGCGTTTTTCGCATTGCATTGCTGCAAAAAACGCATAAAAATACCTGTGTCTCACTTTAGCATAAATCGCTGACATGATTTCCATATTGGAGCGCCTCCACTGCCGCCCAAGATAACGGGCTTGCATTTTTAGCAATTTTAATACATACAGTTGAAAAACTGCCTAAAATAAGACTTTCAAATCAGAAGAAACTGCCCTTTCAAGCCAAATTTTTTGGATTTTTTCTGTCAAAACGAATTCTCTTTATTGACAAAACACTAGTAATACTGTGGCTAGAGATGGATGCCTCTTATGGTCATCCATGAAAATATTAGTTGCAGCGGAAGGGCCGGAGCCGAGCATGCTGAGCATGCTCCTTTGTGATCACAACTCCGTTACATAAGTGCAGTGCAGAATATCATGGTAATCATTTTAGTAAACTCAGCAGCAGAGAATGTCTTAGGCACTAGCAAAATAGTAATCTCACGGAAAACTCAACTCAGGGGTCTATGGTTTAGTGGAGGAAGCCGGCCAGAAACAAAAGGCTTCCAGCTTAGGGGCAGGAAGGTGCTGGCATAGCTTTGCGCGCCTCTAGAATATCAATGGCTTCGGAATAACAATCTCTGTAATGTTTTCTTTTGAAGCGGTGCATAAACCGCAAGTATGTAGCAAAACTACTAATAAATAAACAGCTGAAGCGTGCGCGAGCAGCACACACACACACACACACACACACACACGCATAGACGCATAGAACAAGCAACAAACCAGTTTGACTCGCAGTGAGCGTTTCAATATGGGCGCAGATTTGAAGACAACAAGCATCATGGTGCGTGGATGTTTCCATTTTGTTAGCTTATTGAGGACGCGCAAAAGATTGATGGCCGAGAAGACATTGCGCCAAAGATGATAGGACGGCGACTGCGAATCACCCTCCTCCAAATTATCAGCTGTGAACACAGGCCATTCCTCTGCAACACATCCCCTGAGGAGGACAAATTGCAAGCAAAGCTGGCATATCAGTTAGCAAAAAAATACCATGATTTCGGGCGTAATAAAGCGGAGCACGTGGATAGTTATATGGTGGTAGTTCGTGTTTTGATTGGACATAGCGAACCATATTCTGATCGAGGAACTTTAGGATAAGGGGAATACAGTTGGCGAACACGAGATTCTGGCCGAGATATTCAAACTGATAGATGTGATTCAGCCGAAAATGCTTCATTAGCAGGATGAGAATTGCCGAAGCAGCTTTCACCATTATCTTAAAACAGAAACGGCGCACCTTTACATAATATAAGGATGAGAATATAAGGATTAATTTAAAATCAGCAAATCCCAACCTCCTTATGCCGATTGATATCAATTGCAACACGAACACTTTGTTCGAGAACATTGGAATGCAAACTATCCAGATTGATCGAACTGGATAAAACCTCGTTGCTGTCTGTTTCAGGTGTAAGTAGGTCCGACAATATATTGATAGCATCGCTTTTTGCCTATATTTAAATGGTTAAATATATATAGATATACGTAGATGCTCATGGATATATACAGATATATACAGATGCTCAACGGTTAAACGATAACAGTTAAGTGAGTGGGAATTCTTTTCTCCTCTTCCTCGCAAATGAAGAAAAATTTCAAAAACAGATTCCCTACTTTAAGATCGTTTACTGTAAAATGGACCAGTTGACAAAGCCCGCAACAAAATTAATTAGATCGCAGAAGAACTGACTTTCGAAGACGGTGCTGCAGCCAAGAGGACTTTCAGAAGAGCAATAACATACTGGCTTAGATTCGGCAGCATCATGCGATATAACTTTTCAGCATTTGTCATTGCAATATCACCTTCTTGCTGCGAAAATCTGTATCGATTCAGTTCCTTCTCGCGCTTTGTCTAAAGTACTTCTACCACTGAACAACCTTCTTTTCTCAATTAACATTTAACCCAGGCTGGAACGCACCAGGCGAGCCGGAGCGATTATGCGTTTTTGCACTTTCGTACCGTAGC